GAAAAGCATGTAGTGCATTTTTGATGTGTTTTGCAATTTAAATCTACCTAGCAACAAGAAAAGAAAATCTGCAAAAACGCAATGCAGAAACGGGTCAAACGCAAACTGCATAGATGTGAACCTAGCCTTAGTTGGAGTAAACCACTAACAAACGTCATGAGAGCTCATTTGCTAAAAATAGGCAGGAAAAAAGTGAAGATATTGTCATCCCATTGCTATGGGCAACCGTATATATCCCAATTAAAAAAAACAAAAAAAACGTATATGAGGGATGTATATCTTTTCAGCAGTTTTTTTTTTTTTTTTTTTTTAACGCAGATCAAACCCCAGTTACTAAAATCTCATATAAGCTTTAACATGTTAATTTAGTTTCAAAATCTGTATATATTAGATCTGTCACATTAAAACAATACCTGGTGATCCTAACACAAAGGTCCTGGTTGAGGCAATTCTTGTTTTTGGGCAACCGCTTTCACTCAATTATGCTTTTATGTTGTATTACTTTTTCATGTGCCTTTGGTGAGGACTACAAGCAGCCATGCAGACCCACGTTCCATGGCTTACAGATATGGTTCACCACAGGGGTGGACTGACCATTTGAGCACTTGGGCATTGCCCGAGGGCCCGGGTCAGTAGGGGGCCCCATGAGATGCCCTTTTTTTATAGGCTTTTTGGGTGTGGGTGAGGACACGGGGGCCCCATGATCCCCTATTGCCCGGGGGCCCCATGAGTTGTCAGTCCGCCCCTGGTTCACCGTTGCCACTATCAGGAAACAGATCCGAAGTAACAGCAGTCAAGCGATACTGGGGCACATGTACATAGAGAGGAAGTGACTGAAAAAATCTGGTGGATGTCAGCTGCTCAAAGAAAAAAAGTGAATATTTTTTTGGGAGAAAAAGCAATTTTTACAGTGCTTAAGCAAACTTTTTTAAAGTGGTTCTAAAGTCTACACATTTTTTTTTTCCTTAACCACTTGCCTGCCGGGCACTTTTACCCCCTTCCTGCCCAGACCAATTTTCAACTTTCAGCACTCTCATACTTTGACAATTGTGCGGTCATGCAAAACTGTACCCAAACTAAATTTTTATCAATTTTTTTGAGACAAATAAAGCTTTCTTTTGGTGGTATTTGATCACCACTGGGGTTTTATTTTTTAATAAACAAACTAAAAAGGACCAAAAATTTTGAAAAAAAAAAGTTTTTCTTTTGTTTCTGTTATAAAGTTTTGTAAATAAGTAATTTTTCTCCTTCACTGATGGGCATTGATAGGCTGCACTAATGAGGAGTCACTGATGTGCACTGACAGGTGACACTGATGGGCAGCACTGATGGGCACTGATTGCCAGCACAGATGGGCACTATTGGTAGCACTGATGGGGCTACACTGATCACCAGGAAACTGATGATCAGTGTAGATGTTCCCCTGCAAAATGCTGCTTACCAGCTCTCCTCTCCTTACGCGCTGTCTTGAGATGGTGCATGTGATCGGCACAGGGCCAATCAGCATTGTCCAGACAGAGGGTCATGGGTTATGCAATCTCATAGGGCAGTGAGAGGAGAATGAAAACTTCTCCTACAAGCTTTAACCAGTGCTCTGCTGAACACTGATAGAAGTCACAAGACTGCTCTAACTGCTGATGAGAAAAGGTATTTAGCAGTTTATATTTATTAAAATAATTGCATTTCTATGCTCCTTGTACTATGGGAGACCATATATAGTGTATTCAGAGTCCTGGGTTTAGTAACACTTTTTAAGTAAAAAAAACACACTTTTTTTTTAGTGCATACAAATTGCGTTGCGGTAGTAAGTAGCAAATACACTATATTGCCAAAAGTATTGGGACACCCCTCAAAATCATTAGATTCAGGTGTATAAAATCAAGCAGCTAGGCATGCAGACTGCGTCTACAAACATTTGTGAAAGAATGGGTCGCTCTCAGGAGCTCAGTGAATTCAAGTGTGGTACCGTGATAGTTTGCCATCTGTGCAATAAGTCCATACATGAAATTTCCTTGCTACTAATTATTCCACGGTCAACTGTATTATAACACAGTGGAAGCAACTGGAAACAGCAACTTAGCACAACAAAAGTGCATAGAGAGTTCCATGGAATGGGTTTCCATGGCCGATCAGCTGCATCCAAGCCTTACATCACCAAGTGCAATGCAAAGCATCGGATGCAGTGGTGTAAAGCACGCCACCGCTGGACTCTAGAGCAGTGGAGACGTGTTCCCTGGAGTGACAAATCACTCTTCTCTGTGTGGCAATCGGATTGACGTGTCTGGGTTTTCCTTTTCCAACATGACTGCGCACCAGTGCACAAAGCAAGATCCATAAAGACATGGATGAGCGAGTTTGGGGTGGAGGAACTTGACTGGCCTGCACAAAGTCCTGACTTCAACTCAATAGAACAACTTTGGTATGAATTAGGACAGAGACTGCTGGCTAGGTCTTCTCGTCCAAAATCAGTGCCTGACCAAACAAATGTGCTTCTGGAAGAATGATCAACCATTCCCATAGACACACTCCTAAACCTTGTGGACAGCCTTCCAGAAGAGTTGAAGCTGTTATAGCTGCAATGGGTTGGCCAACTCAATATTGAACCCTATGCAGGTGTGTATTTACCACAAGGCAAACAAGTCATTTGCCTAGGGTGGCATTTTTCAGGGGGGCAGCATGGAAACACCGCAGCATGGGGACCTGGTGGGTTTCATGACAGTGTATGCACAGCCTGACTCTCGTTCCTGGGGATGTCCAGAGCTGTGAAGGTGGGTGTCTTTTTTCTCTCTCTCGCCGTGAGGGATGGTGGTTGGTGTATGGGGGGCAGTGGTAGTGGAAGGCTCAGGTGGAGGGAGGGGTGTTCTTGGTCAATATCAGGCTCTTTCTGCGGGAAGGGGGGGGGCACCAATTTTTGTGTTGCCCAGGGCAGCACAAAACCTAAATACACCACTGACCCTACGGACTAAGACTGGGGGTGCCATTGAAGTTCATGTGCGTGTAAAGGCAGTCATCCCGATATTTTGGGCAATTTAATGTACATCCAGCCCTTAAAATTGTGTGCAAAAAAAAAATGATACTGAAAATTGTATTATAATTAGGCAACACATTAAAAAGACCATGTCTCTACAGGGTCACTTATACGGTCATAACACCCTGTAACTTACCTTTCTGGTGGCTCTGTGTGTGTTGAGATGTCTCCCCTTTTCCCTGGCCAACTTTCAGGTGAGTTGATTGTCTGCACCTGCTGCTGAACACTATGGTCCCACCTGATAGTACATATGTCCTGTAGTGACATACAAACCAGAGGGAGGACCCACAGCATACAGTAGGGGAGCAGGTATTCTATACAACCAGAAGTGTTCAATGCCTGCTGTGGGTGGGAAAAACCGGATTGCATAGTACTTTTGTACTTCTTGCCTTGGCTATTTAGAGGCAACAACTTCACAAGCCGGCACTGGCGCTTCATCTGAGATTAGGCTTTTTGTTTGTACTGGTTTCACCTTCCAACCACGGCTTATTCATGTTTGGGCTTTGCCCTTCTGACCTTCTATGTCTACAGACCTCACCCTTATTGGCCTTGGCTTTTGATTCTGTAGAAGTATAAAAGTATTATTTTGCGCTGCGTATTTTGACCTCTGGCCTGAATATGACTATGTATCTGATTCAAAGAGCCCTGAAGAATAGGGCTCGAAACCCATTAGCTGTTTTTGGACGCTATGAGGTCTTCCCATATCATTTGCTGATTATGGTAAATTTGGAGGAGGTCTCATCTGTATTTATAGATATGCTCGGGCATGACATGCGTTTGTGTGTATTCACTTGTTCTATACTTTTAATAAAATTGAGTTATGGTAATGCACTAGGTCGGTGCGCCCTCTCCTTTGTTGTTTTGTAGAAAGCCTAGTGCCATCTGCGGTGAGTGTCTTTGTCTGCACGTGTTCTTACATTTCACTTCCAGCATGTCTGAAATGATTGCTTACATCCACACCTGTCTCCATGCTAGATCTCTGGACCCCATACTGTTCCTACTCTGCTGTGGATATTCATTTTCTTTCTATCATCAGGTTTCTTATCCCCAGAGGCCATAATTGGCAAAGCTTATAATTCCATCTGTAACTACACTATCTTGCTAACAAACCGTTTGATGACTTTGTTTAAGCTAGCTGATCCTGTGGAAAGCGATCCTGAACACCTGACTGTCGGTTGCATTAATGGACTCACCAGTAAACATTTGTAATCGCTTCTCGACTGTGTTCTCACACACAACCTTGGGAGAAATTAATATGCATGTCATGCGTTATGACGTTAGGAGGATCTGTCCTTGAGCATAAACTGTTGTATGTTGTTTTTTTTTCTACTGCTAGCCTGTGAACACTTTGCAGCTATTATCACACTGTATTGTTGCAAGCTTTTTAGTTCTATCCAATCTGCCTAATAAGGTTCAGAGGTCTGCTGTGTGCAATGAAATGTAATATTCAGACAAAATCTACAAGAACTTGATAGACTCCTAAGAATTTAAATAATGTATGCTATTATTGGATTTAATAATAGCATTAGGGTGTATAGGTTGTTAAGTTTGCTTTTGCACCGCTGGAGATGATATATAAAAGATTTTTATATATTTGTGAAGTGGCTTGTCTGTGAAAGCATGGGAAGTCTCACAGAAGGGAGACACTTTACAGAAGGATTTTTATATTTACAAAGTGTTTTTTTGTGTTTAATGAGAAACAGAGCTTGCTACTTAGAGGTATGTCCTTGTGATTATGTACTAGCTTGCTGTGATGCATCCCAGAAATACAATATTAAAAAAAGAAATACTGTGGTGTCCTAAACATGAACAGAAACGAGCAAACCTTTTTTATTAATTTACAAAAATTTAAGTTTTTATTTTACATACAAGCCCCATTTCTGTAACAATTTAAACCAAGTATATTCAACCGGTGGCCCATAGAGCTGTCCGAAGTGCCCTGTGACCTCAAATCTATGGCAACCCGCACAGCCTCTCTACCAAGGGCGGACTGACCATTTGGAAACTCAGGCACTGCCCAAGGGTCGGGGTCAGTAGGGGGCCCCATGAGATTCCCCTGGTACCTTTTTTCATAGGCTTTTTTGAGTTTGGGCAAGGACACAGGGGCCCCATGATCCCCTATTGCCCAGGGGCCCCATAAGTTGTCAGTCCGCCCCTGCTCTCTACTGAATGATTGCTGGTCTTCTATAATTCCAGCGACTATCATACACAAGCTGATATTGTGGATGGCTCCCCCACTCTTCTCTTTCCTTCCTAACATACAAACTCAGGGAAGGGAGCCTTTAGTCTGGTGGCATCAATACAAGGGTTCTGAAGGTGGATTCCACAGTTGAGTGATGAGCTTGGGAGCATGTGAGAGCATGATGTGTCATTCTTTCTTTGCTTAATAAAGAGGTTTATTGCACTACTGCGGTGTGCACTTCCCTGATCTGCTATTTTTTGTTTAGATTGCCCACAATCTTTCTTTTGGCAATCCAAGGGATGGCTGCAAAGACCATGATATAGTGAAGGCTGCAACACTTGTTCAGAGCATTTTTAGCTGGTCACACCTGGGCACGAAAGTGGGATTAATATCTGGTTACTAAAAAATTAGATTTTTGTGATTAAATAGTAGGTAAACATCCAAGAAGAGGATTAGTCCCACGGAAAATGATGATCCTGATTGTTTAAAATCTTCAGTATTCTATTGAAAATAAAAAATTCTAAATTCTGAACCATTTAATTTCACTGGGGCCCGTGACAGGTTACCAAATTATAAAAGTGATCTGTGCTCTTCAAGATGTTGAGCACTCCTGATTTAGGCTTTTAGAGATCTTGGAGCCAATGTGAGTCATTAGCTTTTCTACCAATGGGGGGGGCGGTCACAGCAATTGGATCCACCTACTAGAAAGACAGTATTAGGTTTTACTTCAAACATTAGTCTTCAGAGTATTAAGGCTCCATGCACTCTGACTGCAAAAAAAACACTCTGGCACAAAAAATAGCTGTTTTTTTGAGCATTTTTTGTGCTAGCATTTTGGAGTGTTTAATTTTTTTTTGCCAGAAAAATGCTCTCAAAAACATAGTGGAGAACCACGTACAGTTGCAAGAAAAAGTATGTGAACCCCTTGGGATTACGTGGAGTTTTGCATGAATTGGGCATAAAATGTGCTCTGAATGTCATCTAAGCCACAACAATAGAAGAACACAGTCTGCTGAACATAATACTACACAAACATTAGATGTTGCCATGGTTTAATTGCACATAACATGTAAACATTCACAGTGCCGGGAGGAAAAAGTATGTGAACCTTTGGACTTAATAACTGGTTGACCCTCCTTTGGCAGTAATAACCTCAACCAAACGTTTCCTGTAGTTGCAGATCAGACCTGCACAACGATCTGGAGTAATTTTGGACCACTCCTCTTCACAAAACTGTTTCAGTGTAGCAATATTCTTGGGATGTCTGGTGTGAATCGCTCTCTTAAGGTCATGCCACAGCATTTCAATCGGGTTGAGGTCAGGACTCTGACTGGGCCACTCCAAAAGGCGTATTCTGTGCTGTTGCAGCCATTGTTTTGTTGAATTACTTGTATGCTTTGGGTAATTGTCCTGTTGCATCACCCATCCTCTGCAGAGCTTCAGTTGGCGCGGACAGATGGTCGTATGTTTTCCTGCAAAATGTCTTGATAAACTCTGGAATTCATTTTCCTATCAATGACAACAATCCCTCCAGGCCCTGAGGCAGCAAAGCAGCCCCAAACCATGATGCTCCCTCCGCCGTGTTTTACAGTGGGGATGAGGTTTTGATGTTGTGTGCTGTGCCTTTTTTTCTCCACACATAGTGTTGTGTTCTTCCCATACAACTCAATCTTGGTTTCATCTGTCCACAGTATATTTTGCCAGTAGTGCTGTGGAACATCCAGGTGCTCTTTTGCAAACTTCAAACGTGCTGCAATATTCTTTTTGGACAGCAATGGCTTCCTCCGTGGTGTCCTCCCATGTACTCCATTCTTGTTTAATGTTTTCCTTATTGTAGATGTGTCAACAAAAATGTTAGGATGTGCCAGAGATTTCTGTAGGTCTTTAGCTGACACTCTGGGTTTCTTCTTTACCTCAAGCAGCATTCTGCGCTGTGCTCTTGCAGTCATTTTTTACAGGACGACCACACCTAGGGAGAGTAGCAACAGTGCTAAACTTTCTCCATTTGTAGACAGTCTGTCTTACCGTGGGCACATGAACATCAAGGCTTTTGGAGATACTTTTGTAACCCTTTCCAGCTTCATGCAAGTCAACAATTCTTGATCGTAGGTCTTCTGAGAGTTCTTTTCTGCGAGGCATGGTTCACATCAGACAGTGCTTCTTGAAACCAGTAAACCCAAAACAGGTGTGTGTTTTTTAAGGGCAGGACAGCTGTCAGCAACACATCCAATATCATCACACTGATTGGAGTCAAGGTTGGCTCACTCCTGGCTCCAATTAGCTCTGGGAGAAGTCATTAAGCTAGGGCCTCACATACTTTTTCCTCCCTGCACTGTGAATGTTTACATGTTATGTGCAATTAAACCATGGCAACATCTAATGTTTATGTTCAGCAGACTATGTTCTTCTATTGTTGTGACTTAGATGACGTTCAGAGCACATTTTATGCAAAATGCAAAACTCCACGTAATCCCAAGGGGTTCACATACTTTTTCTTGCAACTGTAGGTTAAAGTGCAGAAACTCTCCCCTAGACTAAATTAACAATTAGCCCTTGAAGATTGGGTGCACCCCCAACTGCAAGGGATAATTTTTGAGTTTCCAGGAATTGGGCTTTCAAATGTAGGGTTTGGCCACCTAAATAAGGAAATGAACCTTCAGTACATACTGTAACTCCCAATTTGAAGCAGCAGAGAACTTTAACACTGCCTAGGCACTCTTCGTTCCTCTAGGATCACAGAAACCTATTGAGAGTTTAACATTACCAGGGCCATATGCCATGACTATGTCCTAATAAGAGACATAGTGGACATTAATAATATCTGTTCATGATATAAAGCCTCCCTATTGTGCGATACAACCAGGGGCAGACTGACAACTCATGGGGCCCCTGGGCAATAAGAGATAATGGGGCCCCCTGTTTCTCTGCCTGCACTCAAGCCAAAGCCACACCCACACAACACCCCACCTACATATTGCAGCTCAGCTGCATAGAAAGGGCATTAAAAATAATATACAAAATAAAACAATGTCGTGGGGATCCCCTCCATTCATGCCAAGCCCTTCGAGTCTGGTATGGATTTTGAGGGGAACCCCCATGCCAAAATGAAAAAAAAAATGGTGTGGGGTCCCCCCCAAGATCCATACCCAGGCTTTTATCCGAGCATGCAGCCTGGTCAGGAAATTGGGGGGATGAACGAGCGCCCCCCATCCTGAACCATAATAGGCCACATGACCTCAACATGGGGGGGTTCTTTGGGGGGTCCCCCCAAAGCACCTTGTCCCCTTGTTGATGGGGACAAGGACCTCTTCCCCACAACCCTGGGCTGTAGTTGTGGGGGTCTGCAGGCAGGGGGCTTATTGGAATCTGGAAGCCCCTTTAGTAAGGGGGCTCCCATGTCCCGCCCCCCCCCCATGTGAATGAGTATGGGGTACCGCTACCTACTCACAAAAAGAAAAAGTGTAGTGTGAAAAAAGACAGGAGACAGTCTTTGACAAGTCCTTTATTAAAAGAAGGAAAATAAAAGAATGTCCCCTGAAGTAGATACGTCAATCACGATGCCTGCCGCCGCTACCGCAAAAAAAAAAGAATAAAAAAAGGCTCCGCTCCCGATGCTAACTCCCAGCTGTCTGCCTGCTCCGCTGGCTTGACAGTTCTTAAATATGTAAGGGGCGGGCCACCCAGTGACATCACGTGTGGCCCCACCACCACGTAGCAGGCTTCGTGATTGACATTGGATCTACTTCGGAGGACATTCTTTTATTTTTCTTCTTTTAATAAAGGACTTGCAAAGACTGTCTCCTATTTTTTTTTTCACACTACAAGCCCCCCTGCCGGAAGACCCCCACAACTACTGGCCAGGGTTGTGAGGAAGAGGCCCTTGTCCCCCTCAACATGGGGTCAAGGTGCTTTGGGGGGGAGCCCCTTCCTCACCAAAGCACTCTCTACATGTTGAGGGCATATGGCCTGGTATGATTCGGGGGGGGGCTCACTCGCCCCCCCCCCCCCCTTTCTTGGGCTGCATGCTAGGATATGAGTCTGGTATGGATTTTGGGGGGACCCCACGCCATTTTAAAAAAAATTTGGTGTGGGGTTCCCCTCAAAATCCATTTCAGACCCGAAGGGCTTGATATGGATGGAGGGGGGACCCCATGCAGTTCTTTTAAATTTTTTTTAATTGCTGGCAATTCTTTCTTTTACATTCAGCTGTCAGCCGGGAACCCCGCTGACAGCTGAAACATTAACGCATGGTTTTAACTGCTAAAATACTGCATGACTTGATAAAATAACTCATTCTATATTTTTGTAGCGTTTAAGTTAATTCAAACTTTTTTTTTTTTTAAATGCTATGTGGTATCCTACTGCATACTCTGATGCAGTAAGATACCGCTTAGTGAATTGTGCCCAGTGAGCCTCTCACCAGGTCCTCTACTGACCCCGGGCCCTCGGGTAATGCCTAATTGGTCAGTTCACCCCTGGATACAACATTCATTGCATTTAGGGGTTTCTGCACACAGGTGTCTGGTTTAGATCATAGTCTGATTTTTAATGCTGTTTGTGTCTGTTGGGTGGGCAGGGCTGTGGTCACAGAAACAGGCAATAGGAGGAAATTTCTCCAGTGATGACAGAACCTAAAAGAAAAATGGTGGGAAAGGATTCCCTGAGCTCCAGTACCAGCAATGGCAATAAAAACCTGAGCTAGTTCCCACCACCACTTTATTGAAGAGAAACAAAAAGCTTTATCTGGAGTTCCACATAAAAGTGATGTTAAGCTTTAACTTTTTAGCAATTCCCACTGCTGGGGTGAAGTCTTAGAGTATATGAGGTGGTATCAAAAAGTTTCAAGACTAGTTTTGTAAAACACCGACAGATGGCACAAGGCTGCATGCACAGTCACAGGAAACACCGACCTACATAAGTCAGTGTGCCAAAAGACGACATCCTGTGTAATTCAGGAGATGTGCAACTGGTGTTATCCTGACCTTGTGCAATACCACATCTACTATTTAATCATGGACAGCAAGTTACAACAAAGAGCAAACCTGAAATTCTGTGGGAAACTGGGCAAATCTGCCACAGACGATTGACATGATTCGGTAGGTTTACGGCAGTGCATCATTCGAGGTGTTTTGAGTGGCACATATGCTTCAAAAGTGGAAGAATATTTCTGAAAGACAATGAGAGATCATGAATACCTTCAATGAGCTTAACCCCTGAAAATGCCGTAGTCTTCTCCGAAGACTAAGATCCAGCTCAAAGTTCACCGTTTTGAAATCATTGCAGAGATCCAGCGATTTGCCTAGATTAATGCAGAATTTCACGTTCGCTCTTTGTTCTAACTTGTGTGTCAAATCACAGCACAGAGCCCTACATGGACAAACAACACAGGAACGATTGCATTTATGAATGTTTTATAGCAGAAAGTAAAAAAAAAATCTGCATTTTCGGTCTTTTTTCGTTTATATAATAATAAAAAACCCAGTGGTCATCAAATACCATTAAAAAAACTCTATTTGTGTGAAAAAAAATATATAAATTTAATTTGGGTACAGAGTTGCATGCAGGGGTGGGCTGACAACTCATGGGGCCCCTGTGTCCTTGCCCACACCCAAAAAAGCCTATGAAAAAGCCAATGAAAGGTACCAGGGGCATCTCATGGGGCCCCCTACTGACCCCGGACCCTCGGGCAGTGCCCGAGTGCTTAAATGGTCAGTCCGCCCCTGGTTGCATGACTGCACAAATGCCAGTTAGCAGTAGTAGCACAGTGCTGAATAGCAAAAAATGTCCTGGTTATGAAGGGGGTAAAATCTTCCAGAGCCAAAGTGGTTAAAGAAGAATTGACCTTTGTTACATTTGTTAGATTGGTCTGCATAGCTGCATTGGACCAATGTAACAATCTATCCTTTGGCAGATGAGACAGTTCATAGATGTGTATTTCAACTGTGTATTTAGCTGTTTGCCTGGAGTAGAGATTTATGAAAAAGCTAGATGACAGATCTAGTGTTGTTAATTAGATAAGCCTGTGTCCTTCATTTCTGGGTTAAACACCAGCACATTTATTATAACGGGCAAGGCAATTACATGGCCCTGTTAGCTGGAGAAAGCAACCAGTCTGGTAACTTGAACAGTGGCATTTCACTGGCTATTTGCATTATTGCTCATTGATGAGTTATAATATCTCCCCTGTTCTTAACTAGCTTCTTAAATCAGCTTTTGTATCAAAACAGAATTACAGTTGAAAAAAAAGAACACTTTGTAAGTTCCTTTTTACATATATAACAGATTTTGAACTATTAAATGCACTCCTTGGATGGAACATAGTAGTTTTTTTTTTATTAGGAGTGGATTTCAGCTTTTAGACTGTAAATAGGTAAAAGCCAACTTCTTGAAAAACCTGAATGTAGTAAAAAAAAAAAAATATAAGGCTACCCCCTACAGCTTTCTGTGTTTTACTGAATCCGGAAGCTGTAAAATCCATGGGTCCCCCGCTGTTACAGCTGCTGGTGAAATTTAAAGGGATCACTTTATCTAAATGCTGTCTTTAAAATGCAACCAAGAAACACCCTTTTGTATGGCTGTGAAAACTCTTAGCATTCTTGTTTTTGGAGCCTTGTAGATTGTGGTCTTGAACCTTTAAAACATTTAAAACTGTCTACTAATATACAGTATCCAGAATTGAATCAAGACTTTATTTTTAAATCCATTAACCTCCCTGGCGGTATTCCCGAGTGTAGCTGGGGGTAAAGTTTCAGTACCACAAGTGGTAACCCCGAGCTACACTCAGGAATACCATGTGGCACTGCTCCGGGATCCCTCGATCACTTACCTTGCCCTGCACTCCCGCGGTGTCCCCGGCAATGTAATCCGGCGGATGCCGGTATCTGTCATCTGGGTTCCGTCCCCTGCGAGCGTCGGGATGTACGGGGGCAGAACGGCGGAAAATTCAAAAATGACAAATGACATTCACTAAAATCACATAGTAAAACATTACTGTATCAAACCCATTTCACATACATTTTGTCCCTAGTGCCTTGTCCTGTGCCCTGCCTACATTTTTACTGTTCTTTCTGCCTGGAAACTGAGAAACGTCCATGGCATCCAAAAAGCGTCCCTTTAGGTCAAAAGCGGTTTTAGACCAGCTAGAGAACAGCGATCGTAAATCAGAACCACTTGCAGAATTGAGTGATAATGATTCGTAGGGAAATTCATCATCAGACACTGAAAACGATTTTGCAACTTTGCTCAGTGATGTGCGAACTTGGCGCTATATTTCAAATTTCAGTGTTTTTGGTTTGATTATATTATTGAATTAAATGTATTATTATTATATTATTTTTATGATTATTAAATTACAATTTATGATTTCGTGTTTCAAGTTTTATCCTACCCGGGATGTTTACTAGACTCTTGTTCGGACAGATTTCAGTGAGTTATTCCTAAAAATTACAGACCTACAATAAAAAACAATACATACATGCAAAAAAAGTACCACTTTGAGCACAGAAATATGGACATAATCAGACCGCTAGGGAGGTTAAAGTGTCTGTGTCATGGTCCAGTCTCTGGATGATGTTGTAGTAAGTCACAATTTACTGTTGCCTCGTTGTACTGTATGTAGGACTGGTATTAGTTAAATACATCCGTTATAATTTTTTTTTTTTTTTTTTAAGTATAGATGAGCTTAACATCTGTTATCTGAGCACAGCATGAAATTGCTGTGTTACTGCATGGCAGAGACCCAGTCAACAAGGAAACTTCCAGCTAAGCTGAAATTCTGTACTTTATAAAACACAAACAAAACATTTTGTCTAAACTTCAGTTTACTAATCCAACCACTTAAAATAGCCGTATAGTTTACATTTTCTGTGCAGGGTGCCATTTTTCCTTCGCAACCAACAGCTCTAATCTGGAATTTCACTATCACTTGCAAAGTAAAGAACCAAAATGCATTAGTGTGGTCCTTAAATGTTGAAGCAAGAATCACATGTTGGCTGTTCATTTTGAATATGCCAATATCAACTAATGGCCAGTACAAATGGTATGTTGACACATTTTATATATTGGTGGTGTTACCGAATTTGAATTAGGGCTCAATTTTAATGCCTTCCTAGTTTTACTGAGGAATGACTAAGCTTTTTAAAGTGGATCTGAACTCAAAAGTGAATGATTGCTACCTTTATAGAAATTTCCAAAAATATCCTAAGCAGTACCCTGAAATATATATATTTTTTTTAAGAAGAATTCATGACAAAATGATGAGTACGTTTTCCGGCATTTGAATGTGCATAGGTGCTCCTCTTCCTAGAGGCCTCATAGCTTTATATCTGCAGTATAAAATCAAGCAACTGCTGCCCCTAACTGCTTGACTTATGAGATATGGTGAAGCCAGTATTGTGTTGCTGACTGTTATCCTTGCTGGAGAGCAAGCTGTATCTGAGGACCTTTAATGCAAGGACCTGGACCATGGATTTATATTTTCTTCATATCTCCTGCTGCTTTTGAATATCCTTCACTAATCATCAGAGGGCTAGCTGTGACATAAGGATAAAAAGTCCCACTCTTCTTTATGTAGATGGCTGCTTTCACAGAGCCTGTGCACAACAAGGCATGGTAAGCCAGTAATAGGAAAAAGATTGCAAGGAGCCTTCAGGCTATACTGGTGACTAGTCCTTTGTCTTCTGCTTGCCTATTTGGGAACAACTTCCACAGTTCAGGTTCTCTTTTAGGCTCCATGCACACTTGCTTAGAAAAAATGCTGCTCCTAGAGGAGTTTAGCGTTTGCCTGTAGAAGCAGCTAATGGTCTCCAGCGTGTCCATGCACATTAGGTAGACTAAAGGCATTTTTAAGCTCAGCGATTAGAGCCAGAAAACCCCGTCTGTTTTGCAATTTTTAGAGCATTTTTCTAGCAGATAAAATCGCTAAACATTCCTAAACACTAGTACAAAAAATACTCAAAATTTTGTGTTTTTTTCTGCCAAGAGAACTGGCATTTTTTTAAGCCAGTGTGCAAGGAGCCCTAGTTCCCATTCACAACTATCCACATGTATTATGATGCTTGTTATGGTAAATTTCTTGATGTGTTATTGTCCTACAGTACTTGCCAACACAGACACACATACTTTTGAATCAGAAACATTGTTGGATCACTTTCAAAAACTGAAGTGTATACCCAGCTTTAAGTGGTTGTAAAGGCTTAAGGTTTTTTACTTTTTGTATGCATGAAGGTAAAACAACCTTCTGTGTTCAGAGCCCCCCCCCCCAAGCCCCCTAATACCTGAGCCCAATCTTGGTCCAACGATGTGCACAGGTGATTCGGTTTTCCCAGGTCTTCATTGGCTCCTGCTGCTGTCTGTTACAGCCTGTGAGGAGGGAGCAGGGGATGGGGATGAGTCCCGTTCTGCTTTGTCTTATGGATGCAGAGAGCGGGGCTCGGGAACGAGCACACACCAGTGCCCCATAGCAAACGGCTTGTTATGGGGGCACTGCTCAGGGAGAGAGCCAGGAGTGCCAGCGGGGGAACCGAGAAGAGGATAGGGGCTACTCTGTGCAAAATAATTGCACAGAGCAGGTAAATGTAACAAGTTTGTTATTATTTAGTATCGCTTAAGTCTGTTTTAATACTGAGTAGTGTTTCCGAAACTTTTAACCTTATGTTAAATACTTTACAGCTGAATAGCAAAATGACTTGTAATTTAATAATGCTTCACAAGGGAGAAAAGATATTCAAGACAAATCCACTTAGAAGGATCTCATCATAACAAGTTAAACTTTCTAAATAAGAATGAGAGTCCGTGTAGGAAGAGCAGATTTGTTAATCAATATTCACTGGCAAGAATAAGCCATTAAATATCATCTGCACTTCATCTTATTTCCACTAATATCATGACAAAAATGTGCCTGTATCTCATGGGTCAGCGTCAAAGTGCTGCCAGTAACGTACTTTGCAGCTGTAGATATTTCCTGATTGCAAATCTAATTCTTCAGATATACTTCCATTTAATTGCGCAAGTTACAAGAGTGTCTAAATTACAGTTTTGTTGATTATTTCCATTGGTGCTATGGTGGAGGGCTGTTAGGGACTAGAAATCTTGTTTCAGTATCCTGCCTCTTGGCTTATCTATCTTTGCTATACTCAGGGATTCAGCGTGATTTCCAGCAAGAATGGCTAAAAGATAGAGTTTGTTAGGTTAGCAGCTATGTGCCTACCTAAGTGTACCAAAAGTCAAAACGATTTATTTTGCTTAGGATAAGGTAAGTAATGGTTAGAACCCATCTCAGCAATTGTTTGCTGTGTATTTCCCACTAAAGAAAGTTTTTTTTTCATTCGTATTCTGGAGTTGCAGTTGTCACCAAAATGTGTCTCCATTGGAAGATTTCCCCTTATTATTCGGTAACAAACTGAAGCTTGGATTTCCCATCGTTCTCGATCACAGTGGGTCAACAGGACAAATAAAGAGGTCAAATCTTTTTGGTGGAGAAATGGATGGCAATAAAAAAACCAATAGAGATGTTAATATTTTAACTTTCTATCCAAAGTATAAGAAAAAAACTTGCTTTATATGCATCTAGATAGCATCTCTGTCTAGGAAAAGTAGATGCTGGCCCTGCATAATGTCTGAACAATGATTTGACAGGTCTTCTGGGGAGAAAGGTATATAGGTGTTGTCAGCAGAGGTGCTGTGAGCTCTGAGTGGTAATAAAGGGCTGTAAGAAGGACACTCACACATTACTTAGCACTTATGCACTTCATGAGAAAAATATATCTGACACGGGTTTTGCTGTAGTGTTGCTCAAGTGTTAACATAAAAACA